TTAAAATAATTAAAATAATTAAAATAATTAAAATAATTAAAATAATTAAAATAATTAAAATAATTAAAATAATTAAAATAATTAAATTGATAGAATTATCAAGTGTTTTAAGAGGCAAGTAATTTTATTACTACCTGCATTTTTTTATGCAACTAGTGATTTGATAGAAGCCTCGTGGCGCTACTGATGTATACCGCAAACAATAATAATAAGGCATCTATATGCGCCATGCACTAGTGTAATCGATTTATTGATAAGCAATATAGCCATTTCTAGAGTGTAAGATTTACAAGAAATCGAATCCGCAGTGCGAGCTCTTTACGTACGAGAGTTCTTTACTCATGGAGTTCTTTACATACCATACGAGAGTTCTTTACATACGAGAGTTCTTTACTCATAGGAGTTCTTTACTCGTGGGAGTTCTCATTTAAAAAAAAAAAAAATGAAATGAAAAAATAATAAAATGAAAACAAATCACATTTTTTTTATTTCATAGATGTAAAAATTATTAGTGCTTTATAAGATTATTGAATCAAATCTAAATTCTTATTTTTTTCTATTGTAAATTCATAATGAAATGCTTTTTTTTTTTTTTTTTTTTTTTGTGTTTTGTTTTGGCGCACACCGCATCTTAAAGATCTAGATCTTTGGTCTTTTTTTTCTTGTTAAAAATATGCGTAAGAATGTTCATGTGTAAAAGAAATCATAAACCATCATCATAGCATAATGTGTTATCAATCGTATATTAAAAAAAAAAAAATGGTCATGATTATGTCCGCCAAAAGTTTCGAATTATATGTATACTACAATTAAGAGAAATACGAATAAGGATAATGTATCGTATCATCATACATTAGAGGTTGAGAATTTTCGTAAGCTTGATCATAAAATTGATATTGTAGATCAGACATAAGTTGACCATAAAAAAGATTAGCATTACTTTGAAAGTAGTTGCAATCATAGTAGCTATCTTGATCGACTATTTGGAATTCGGATGGTAAAGCACCATCTAGACTGAATTCATTAAATTCATACGTCGGGGTACAAATACTCGGCGAAAGATTAATAGGAGCCATGTTGTTATAAACGATTTCTTGTGTATTTGACAGATTTTCTAATTTGATCGAACTTGATTCCGAAAGAGGCGTGCTAACAGATGTTGAAACGGATGAAGAGTCATTTTCTGAATGTTGATACTGTGGAATGACCTGCAACCAAGTTGTCGGAGGAACTTGAACTTGCTTAACCACACGATTTTGACTTTTACTACGAGGTTGACGTTTTCTACGCGGGATCTTATTGGAATATAGTTTGAGATGTCGGCTTTTCGCTTCATTTGCAAGGCGTCTATATTCCTTTTTTAATTAAAGAAAAATAATTAAAGAAAAATGGGAGAGTTAATAATAAAGTTAAGGATGAGTTAAGAAAATTCAAGAAAAAAAAAATCATTAAGATCATAAAAGATCATTACTTACCGACTTAACCTCTTCGCATTCGACTTTCCAGCTCGCTGAGGCCATCGAAGAAGCCGTTGTCATGGGTAGATAGTGACCTTGACGATGAAGCTCATCTACATATGCTTTGCGATAAATCATAAAGGCATTGGGAGATCTTGAAGGCATATCCCCATTTTTCTTATGAACTATTAGATCCGTTGTACTGATTTTCGGTGGAAAAGGAAGTTTTGCAATAATTGCAGTATCGGTGGATTTTAACTCTATAGGTTGTTCATCAGCACCTTGAACAAACGGTTTGAAATCAAGACTATTGCTTGAAGTGGCATCTTTTCCTGTTGTTTCCATTATCAACATGGATTTCATATATGCTCTATAATTTATTGCACGGCCAAAGTGAGCTTAGAATTTTTTGATGGATGGAGAATCATGGGGTTTTTATGGTTTATGGATTTCCCCTTAATTATAATAATTATAAGCCTTGTTCTTTACAAGCTTGCAATTGTTTTTATTTATGTTGATGTTCCAGTTACAAAGGTCGAATAAATGCGTAACCATTAATATTAAAACACTGTTAAATAAATAAATATGATGCGTTGAGTTTGCATATAGAAATAACAATACTCCTGTAAACAACAGCAACCCTAAGATAAATAGGTTTGTTGACTTTTCCTTGTGTTGCTGATCCGTCGAATATTCGAGTATTGTAATACTTTTTCTATAGACAATCGTAGAAAATTACAGACAATGTCCAAATATTCTAAATATTCTTGAATAGTTATCATCATATCACGTAATTTTTTTTTTTTCTATCTATCTATTTTTTTTTTTTTTTCAGAACATTGAACGAATCTAACTATATTTGCAAAGACATATGACTATTATAAAAAAATATATTGTCATTTGTCATGCTGGCACCACTTCGTTGTGTGTACATTTTTTTTATATATTTTAAATACCGTACTTTAAAATTAAAATTAAAAATAGTATAGCATAATTTACACACAGTGCATATTAAAATAAAAAATGTCATGAAAGAGACGCGTCACCCTTGATAATGTCTCATTGGTCTAATATCAGATATCGATTCTTTTTTGCATCACATCAACTTAATTTATGTGCATGAAACATCGTAAACACCGCGCCAAAAAAAAAAAAAAACATTGATTATTTTATTGTTTAGTGTTCCCCTTTTGAAGATCCTTTATTGTTTGGTAAAAAAACGTGTGTACAGATTTGTTCAATTTTTTTTTGAAACAAGTCTATTTTTTTCATTTGTGTTATTTTAATAATATATATTATTTTAATATATATTATTGAATATATATTATTAATTTTTTAATAATATATATTATCCAATCATCTTTTAGGAGGAAATCGGTGTACTGTACCACACTTTTTAACTCTAGTCTATGATTATGTTATTATTATGGAAATAAATGATACAGGATATCAGTGATGATAAGTCTAAGTATGCATTTTGTGATTTTAGCATTTATTATATGCGAATTATTATATGCGAATTATGCGAATTATCTTGGTTCTTTACAAATTTGTGCGCATATATTCGTTGTATTCGTTGTATTCGTTATTTTCGTTCTAGTTTGTTATTTTTGTTATTTTTGTTAGATTTGTTATAATATGTATTCTTTGAAAATTTTTATTTTCATTATTTAGCTTAGGGATAAAATTATTTTAATATTGCAGCAATAGGCATACATACGTACGTACAATATTTGTTTGTGGGTGCAATATTATGCATATCTGGCTATAATATTGGCGTAAAACAAAGTCCAGAAGAGTGGTTCTCGTGAGAAAGTAATCGATTATTCGTTAAAAATTTCTATCTTTTTTATATGGCCAGAATTTTAAAGGTTTCACAGCTTACTGAAATTTCCTAAACATTTATGCCAAATTCTTGTCGGACCAATATTTTGGGTTTGGTGAGTTAGACCAAATATTTTAATATTCTCATATATTCGTGTGACTCACCTTGAATATGTCCCTGTCTTTTTTGACGTCTAACATCACTTCGGAAAAATACTTGTTTATGTAAACTTTCAATCATGATCTTTTTAACTTTTTTTCGTAGATTATTAAACATCTACCCTGCTTTTCTGTCTTGAATATCTTTATATAAATAGTTTTTATTGGTATTGGATTCGTGGTTTAAATCTATTTGCAGGAGCATGTCTATCCTAAATGGTTAATCATATCATGAAGCGAATACTTTTTCTGAACCAATCTTAAAATTTTAAATATTCCGCATAAAATTAAATTATGACTGCTTATTCTGCCTTACGAAAACTTATAATAAGGCGACTTGAACTTTCATCTAGCATATACAATAGATGTACAATAGATTTACAATGATATACAATAGATTTACAATGATATACAACAGATTTACAATAGATATACAATAGGTATACAATAGATATACAATAGATATAATAAATATACAATAGATCAATAGATATAATAGATATACAATAGATATACAATAGCGTGATATACAATGGCGTGATATTGCTGTAGAGTCAACCACGTTAATGCGTATATAGCTTGAGCTATATCAATGAACCTAGACACATTGTTCCCCCCCTGTTCATCTTATTACCTCATCCACCTTATTACCTCATTCATCTTTCATTCACTTCATTCATGTCATTCTTATATGCTGTCAATTTGTCTAAAAGAATATTGTATAAAAACGTCAAGTATCTCTTTTCTTACGTTCTTTCCATTTACCAATTTTAACTTTAAAGATACTAAAACATCGCACATTAGGATTTCACCTAAATTCAAAATTTAGGTACGTATTTACGTATGTATCTAAAATTACTATCGAATTTGGTAAATAATAAATACAGTGACTTAAAGACCAAATATGGTGGTGATTTTTTCAGGAATTTTCAAATCACGAACCAGGTTGCACGAATATAGTAATTAATCAATGAACTTAAGTTTTTGGATTCGGTTTTTTTTTTACAATTCGTTTTAATTACTTCGCCGATTCTTTTAGTGAACTTAGTAATTTTAGTTCCCTTAGGCAGCGAACATATGAATTGTGTAATAGTTGGTGTACTGCAAAAAAAAAAAAAAAACCGAATAAGGGGCTTGATCCTTCAGTACACAATAAACCCATATTACGACATATTACGATGAATTCCATCTGACTAATTGATTACAAAAAAAAAAAAAAAACTATTATCATAGCATTACCGCATAGACGCGTAGCTTTTAGCTAATTCGTGTTTAATTTGGCTTTGTGTTCACTTTAAGGGTGAGAAGAACAAAAGTCGTACATTAAAATCATTGTGAATTTTTTTCGCTGCTGATTATGCTCAACAATGCTATGGTCTCCTTTATAAAACTATTATATGCACGTTGACTTAGAGCGCATGAACATGTGTCAAAATATTCAGTGCATTGTCGATCTTTAAACAAGCATCGGGTTCGTGCACGTGACGATTTTAAATTGGCGATAAAATATTCGATATTATTCCCCGCAGGGAAATGTTGGGGAAATGCTGCAAGATTTTACCATAACGGGAAATACTTCATAATATCTAAAGCTATTGGAAGTGTTTATGAATTTATTTTCAAATATTAATCTCTTGTATAAATGTCTATTGTTCTAACTATATTATCTATTATCTATTATCTATTATCTATTACTGTATTATGTATTTAAATTATGTTGGCTTCACGTGTAGAATGACCCTATCGTGGCCAATTATCAGTTGACATGTAAGTAAACGTAACTCGATTTTTTACTGTTTATAGTCAATTATATAATTAATTCTAGCAAATAGATTTGAAAATTTTTTAAAAAAAATTATTGTTTTTTAAACTAAACCAATTAATCAAAATTTAATACAACTTATTAAATATTTAGTGTTTTAAACAAAGTGTATTTTCTAGTTGCTATACTTAAGTTAAATTTATACTATAGAAATTTGGTAAATTTAGTAGATTGCTATGTAGCAGGTTAATATTTAAAAAAATAAAATTAGAATATTATTAATAAAAAATTAGCATTAGTATTAGAGTTAGAAAGTGTATATATATGCAAAATTACATGTTAAAAACTTTAATTAAAAGCTTAAGATTAATATATAATCTTTTTAATTTTTTTTAATTAAATTTTTTTAATTTTTTTAATTTTTTTGCTTCGTTATAGTTGTACAAGATCTGTAATATAATTGGTTAACTATATTAACTTGCAATATAACAACTTGTTATATTTACTATATTTAACAAAATTCTATACTATATATAATTAATATCCTATAAATATACTCTTTTAAAACTATAAAAGATATATATTTAGCAAGTATATATATTTATAAAAGATATTTTATTAAAATAAAATTTTACTTATATTTTATTAAAAAATATAATTTATAAGGACGATCTTAATGCTCACTGAAGATGAAATTCACCAGTTATATGATTAGCCAATCAAATCGCAGGATCTTTATGTAATGAAAATAAAGAATTTTTAGAAAAAAAAACAAAAAACATTAATATCTTAAATTTTTATTATGAAAACTTGCTTCATGTCATTAAGTAAAAGTTTTCAGTACTTAATTTTATATATAATAAATACTTTACTCTAATATAGCTCTTGCCCTAACCCTAAAGTTAATAAAAAAATATTTTTTATTAAGAAATAATCAAACAAAACTATATACCAGTTAATTTCACCTATGGTTATTCTTAAATAAATTCTTTTATAAATTAGATTTATTTAAAATTAGCCAGTAGTGAATTTCATCAGTAATTGTCTATATATAATTAAATCAAATAATTTTTATAAACCAAGAATAAATAGATTTGGGCCCTGTAACTTATTAGTTATTTATTTTTTTTTCAGTAATCCTGCCTTTATTATTTAAATCAGAAGTACCAGAACTTTATATTTAAATTAAATATAAATTTTCTATATTATATTCTTGTACTAATAAAGACTTACTTGGTATTAAAGTCTAGGTGTAACTTGTCTAAGTAGCCAATTTGCTTCACGTTAGATCTCTTCGATTCTTAGCTAGAAGCTGCTAATCTTGTCAGATATCATTATTTTTTCTTTGTAATATTAGTTCAAAAGAACCAGTTTGGTTTGATATAGTAACTGATTAAATTTTGGTTATTTTCTTTCACCATGTCTAGAACTCTCTTCTCTTTTTCTTTGAGGTTTTTCTTTGATCTTTTTTCTCTGCGGTTCTGTTTTCTTTATTCTGATTCTTGTATTAGTTTCTTTTTCTCATTATCTTTTTTTTTCTTTTGGCGTTAATAGTAATTCTGTTACTTTTTTCCCAATTATTTACTAGTTCACATCTAAA